TTAATAATAAAACAATTTATTTTTGGTTTAATATTATAAATTTTATAAAGATAATAATTAAGTATTCTGTTAGAATTTAATGATTATACTAATTATATTTTAGATTTTTTAGATTTAAAATGAGATGTTTATCTTGTATTTGATTGTGTTTATCTGCAGTTAGTTACACGATTTCAGATATGGGATGAAATTGGATAGGGATAAAATCGTTTATGGATGAACGGGTTTAAGAGTTTTTAAGAGTTTTAAGAATTTTTAAGAGTTTTAAGAGTTTTTAAGATTTTTTAAGAGTTTTAATCAAATGTTTTATAAGATAGTATAGAAATCCACACGAATATCAAAAAATAGATTAAATTTAGAATTTACCTTAATATATTCTATTTTTAACAAAATCTAATGAATTAATATTTTAGTCTCTAAAACTGTAAAAAATAATATGATATCTTTGGAAGATTTAAACTTTTATTCTCTATTTAAAAAATTGATTAATGTTAAAAGGGTTAAATGCATGAAATAGCAACCTATTTTCATAAAACTTTTTATTATAGTATTCTACTTTTGTTTTTCCTTTATTACAGCAATGTACTTTCAAATTATTTTTTATTAAGACATTGTACTTTAAAAAATCTACCCATAATAGCAATTGGTAACATGTTACCTTTTAAACCGGTTAACTTTTTGACTTTTTTGCTTGTGTGGCTTTAATGAGGTGAAGTGGATGACACATCATTTTGATGACTTAACTAAAATTAAAATAAAAACTATTTCAAATTATTATTAGTGATTTTCATTTTTCATTGCTATGATCTAAAAAAACATTTAATTTTTTTTTACTTTTTCTTATTAAGTTGCATTCAATTTAAATATTCTTAAAGTAAAATAATTATTAAATAAATATGAAACATTATTTTCGAGATATATTTTGTTTGTAAAAAAGGTAATTTTTCCTATTTTATGTTGTTCAAATAAATACATATCTTTTAAAGTTCTCTTTAAAATATTAACGAAATAAATTGTTATCTATAATTTTTTAATATTGTTATATTAATAAATAATTGGAAAAAATCTAATTAACTTAATATATTTATACGTCAAGTAAAAAGCTTTTGAACAAATATAATATATTCTTTAAAAGATGATATTTTTTGGTAAAAAATGAACAATTCTTATTTTTCTTTTTCCAAAAAACACACATTTTTTTAAAAATATTAGCGAGATAAGTTGTGTTCTACTAGTTTTATTGATATTGGTATATTAATGAATAATTTAGAATTTTTTAAATTCATTTAATACATTTATTAAATAACATGTAAAATATCTAAAAATAAAATACAGTGTTTAATAAGAACTAGTAGATGTTATGATAAAATAATTTTGAAAGTACAATAATGTAGTAAGAAAGTCACATCACTATAGTACATGTGGACAGCCTACGTGGACAATGAGGTGGCATGTAAACCTAGTATAATGGGTAAATTTAAATCAAAAGGTTACTCAATGCTATAATAGGTAAACTTCTCAAAGTACAATGTCCTAATAAAAAATAGTTTGAAAGTACATTGCTGTAATAAGAAAAACTGAAAGTACAATGCTATAATAAAGAAATTTATGAAAGTAGATAGTTATTTTATACATTTTGCCCAATGTTAAAAATATGATTCTTTTTTTTATATATTCAATCCATTATGTGAGTTGATTAATAACCACATGTTTTGCAGATAATCCAAAGTCACTGTATTTGAACCTCCGTGACTACAAGAAAATTTTATTCCTTTTTAGATTTAAACCTGAAACTTTTTTATACTTTTGATCTTTGAAATCGAAATCAAACCATTGTGGTTATATGATATTTTTTTATGGTAAAATTGTTAAAGCAAAGTCCTTTTATGAAATTGGAGAGGCCGCTTTTGGAGAAAGAACGTGGGTATTGGAAAGGGGTGGGGTGAAATGACGAGATTGTCCCTGTAGTGTAGGTGGAAGAATAAAAGTGCACCAGGCTTTGATAAAATTATGATTCGAAAAGCTGGCAATAAATAGTTGTACATTGCTTTAGAAAAGTTGTACACTATTCTGTAAATAATCATATAAATTAAATAAGCATATAAATAAGCATATTCGTCATCTTCCACGCTAAGCAAAGGAGAGAGGGAGTAGTGGATAAGGCCAATTTCTAACACTCGTGTCATTTTTCTTTTATTTTTGTTTCCTTGTATAAATTCACGCTTATTATTAAATTTGGCATTTTATAACTGAAATAATACTTGGTTCATCTCACTATTTAATTACCGGTAAAAAATCCAATGAATTATCTTATTTTAAATGATTAGTTTTTTTAGTTATTTTTTAATGAAAATTTATTAAATTTTTTCATTTGAAATGATTAAGTTTTGAACTGTTTTTTTTTTAAATAAAAAAAATACTATTAAACTTTCTTATTTTAAATGATCAAATATCTGAATTTTTTTTTCAATAAAATAAACTATCGGACTTTTAAAAATGGATTACTTAAACTGTTTTAATAATTAAAAAAAAAAACTACTTGTAACTGACTAAAAAGACCTAAAGGTAAAAAAAATAAATTTAAATCAGTTTTACTGTTTTATAAACCCTATTACATTCAAAACCAACGTAAACACCGATAACGCTTCTCCTTGTCGTCCCATCATTGCTCGTTCTCAGTATCGCCTATCACGTTGTTCGCCTATGTCATTGATCTCCCTCTTTTTATCCATTTTTTATCTTTTGATAGATAAAATGGATCAAAAAGAGAGAGATCGGTGACTGATGGTATGAAGAATGAACAACAATGGAACGACATGGAGTGGCGATGCGGAGTGATATTGTCATTTACGAGGGTTTGAAGGGTGTAGGGTTTGGGAACAATAAAACTAATTTAGGAATCTTTTTATTTTTATTTATAGTCAGTTACAAGTAATTTTTTCTTTTTGTTAAAATGATTTATGAAACCAATTTTTAAAAAAAGTAGTTCAAGAAAATTTAATAATTCAAAATGAGAAATTTTAATTATTTTTTCGTTCAAAAAAGTAGTTCGGACACTTAATTATTCAAAATAAGAAAACTTAATGGTTTTTTCTTTAAAAAAATAGTTTACTTAATTATTCAAAATCGGATAGTTCGTTAGGTATTCTGAACTTCTACTCACACACACACACACACGCATATATTAAGTGGATCCATTCAAGAGAGATTGATTAGTTTGTGACAACTTTGACCTCAACCACAAATCAATGCATAAATTAGGAAACTAATATTTTTGGTAATTTGACTTAAATTTTTAATCAAAAAAATTTCAGGTATTTAATTTTTTATCTCTCCTCTGTCTCTCTCTCTCTCCTACTTCTGGCCTCTGATAAACCTTATTCGGCCAACACCATGTGATACCCGAAATACACCAAGATAAACAATGTGATACTCAAAATACATACAATGTAATATCCAAAACATACCAACTAAACTTAAAGACCACTATGATACCAACCGTGATACTATTGTGATACCAATTATAGTACTACTATG